CTACTGACCCCCCTACTGACCCCCACTACTGACCCAGGAGTTTTAAATGTGTGTTGAACTCTGACTAAAATGTGCTCACCTAGATGTGCTTGCACTATCAAGTATTAGCTCCCTAGTCCCACCTTACCAGACGATGGTAACAAGGCGGAGAAGGAGAGGGAAGTGGAGTAAGAGGTGGAGAGAAGAACGAAGGAAACAGGATCACATATCTAGAAAGGCACATAGACAAACATACACAGAAAGCATAGATCATCAGAAGAAAGACAGGGATAAAGAGGGTCTAAATACATGTTCAATGTGCAAATAATTAATGAATACTTGAGTATTTGCTTAATTAAGAACTTTTGAGTAAGTCAAATGCGCTGGTATTTATTTAGCTTTCAATCCCAGTAAAGTATCTACATATAATCAGACAAAAATATGAATAATATATATATTACTCTCAATTACTATTTTCTTCTTAATTATGCTTTAATTAGTTTAATGTTTTGAATTCATCCTTATTTCGACTATATATATATATATATATATATATATATATATATATATATATATATATATATATATATATATATATATATATATATATATATATATATATTATTATATATATATATTATATATATATATATATATATATATATATATATATATATATATATATATATATATATATATATATATATATATATATATGTATATATGTATACAACACATGTCTAGATGGCAACATGCCAGCGACCATAAGACCTATCTTTTTTGGAGCATCTCTCTGTGCTCTAAAGAAAAAGGATGGAGGGATCAGGCCAATAGCTGTAGGCAATTCTCTCCGGCGTCTCGTCGCATAGGCAGCTGCAAGAACAGTTAGTGATGCAGCGGCCAACATGCTGAAGCCAAAACAGCTCGGGTTCGGCATTCCACAAGGGTGTGAGGCGGCAGCCCATGCAGCTCGAGCCTTCACTGCCATCATCACAGACGAAAAGGCCCTTATCAAGCTAGATTTAAAAAATGCCTTCAATTTGGTGCGGAGGGATGCTGTACTCCGTGCGGTTCATAGTCATTTCCCTTCCCTCTACCCTTTTGTACATTCATGCTACAGTATGGATCTTAAGCTACTTTTTGGCGAACATGAAATTGACTCGCGAGAAGGCGTCCAACAGGGTGACCCCCTTGCTCCTCTCCTTTTCTGTTTAGTCATCAAACAAGTCACAGAGGTCCTGTCCAGCGAGCTTAACATCTGGTTCTTGGATGATGGTACCCTAGCTGGTTCCCAAGACTCCCTCCTGGAGGACATCAGAAAAATCCAGGAGCAAGGTGCAGTTTTAGGCCTCACCCTGAACCCTTCTAAATGTGAAATAATATGTTCCAACCAGGGCATCGTAGAGAGAATAGAGGGTCTTCTGCCAAATATCCATAAAACTAAACCTGAAGACAGCATACTCCTAGGAGCTCCCATGGGGTTGAAAACCATCGAAGAGGTCCTTGATAAGAAAATTGCCGACCTTAAGAGGATGGATGGGAGGATTGATGATATTGATGCTCATGATGCACTCTACCTCATCACCAGATGTCTGTCCCTCCCCAGGTTAACCTACTTTCTGAGGTGTTCACCATCTTACAGTAGCCAAAAACTAAGTGAGTATGACCGGTTACTGAAATCAATGCTAGAAAAAGCCCTTAACCTCTCTCTTGATGACCTACAGTGGAAACAAGCCTCTCTTCCTGTAAGACTTGGGGGCCTCGGAGTTCGAACAGCAACGCAAATCGCTGCTCCAGCCTTCCTGTCCTCCTTATCAGCATCCGACGACCTTGTGAAGGAAATTCTACCTGCCCACTTACATCAGCTGGCAGGTGTACATGATCCCACTTTTACACGTTGTGCCACAGAGTGGGCCTCTCGTGCAGGCCCATCACCTCAACCACCATCCCCGAAAGCCCACAAGCAATCCAGCTGGGATGGCCCCATTGTAGACCAAGTTGCTGCAGAGTGCCTGGGTGCTGCAACAACACAAGACATTGCTCGCCTCACAGCAGTAGCAGCCCTACATGCAGGGGATTTCCTGTTAGCAACCCCAATGTCGGCAACTGGCACGCGTCTCACACCACACGCCCTCCGAATTGCTGTGGCCCTCCGCCTTGCTGCCCCAATCCACACCAGATATAGGTGTATTTGCGGCGAGGTGGTGGCTGACAGGTATGGCCACCATGGCCTACTCTGCCAAATCACAGGGGGATGGCACTCGAGGCACAGTGAAGTTAACGACATCATCAAGAGGAGCCTCACCACAGCTTTATGCCCAGCTGAAAGAGAGCCCCGTTACCTAACGCCCCGTAACTCTGATGCTCTTATTGGTCGCCCAGATGGTATCACAGTGAACCCCAGGAAGAATGGCAAGCAGTTGGTATGGGACTACACGTGCGTATCAACCCTGGCTAACACCTACATTGACCTCAGTGTTGCACAACCAGGTGGCGCTGCCACCCACAGGGAAGCAGCCAAATTCCGTAAGTATAGAGAACTGGATAACCACTACAATTTTGTCCCCATTGCTTCTGAGACACTCGACGCCTGGGGTAAAAGTGCTTCCAGGTTTTTTAAGGAACTGGGTTCTAGGCTCATTGAAACAACAACGGACCCTAGAGCTGCCAGCTTTCTTTTCCAGCGCCTCAGCATGGCGATACAGAGGGGAAATGCGCACTGCATCCAGGGTTCCTGCCCGCCATCTGAGGAGCTGGAGGAACTCGACAACCTATGATAACCATCTTTGTAACCCATATGTAACTCCTTTTTTGTAACAAAGTTCAAATAAAGCAAATATATATGTGTACATACAAAAGAATGGGGGTGATAGGAGAAGATAATGTTAGTGTTCAGTGAGAAACCACAAGGTCTCCTCTGAATACTTTTTATTTTCTTCTCCGAGGCTATGGGTCCCCACATTGGCACCAGAGGTGGTACCCTCACAAACTTATATACATATATATATATATATATATATATATATATATATATATATATATATATATATATATATATATATATATATATATATATATATATATATATATATATATATATATATATATATATATATATATATATATATATATATATATATATATATATATATATATATATATATATATACAACTGAAAGCTCACACCCCAGAAGTGAGTACATATATATATTGAATACAGCGCTGCTAGATGCAGGATATCTGCGAAATTGTATAACATACATTATAGAGGTTATTTGTTTGATTAAATATTGCATGTTATAATTGATGCAATACAAATTTTCATGAAAATGTCTATACAAGTTGTGTTATTGTTTGGATTTTGTTATTGATTTTGCAAGTTTTTGGTGTTTGCATTTGTGTAAGTTGTGTAATAATTATGCATGTTACGTATTTTTTGTGCGAATTGTGCAATTGTGTTAGTTGTTTACTGATTGTATTTTTGAAAGTAAGGTATTAATTATGCATGTTGTGTATTAATTATGCATGTTGTGTATTAATTGTGCTTATTTTGTAATTGTATATGTGCTAATTGAGTATTTGTGCCAGTAGTGTATTGATTGTAATTGTGCAAGTTGTATATTAATCGTGCAAAATGTGTATTAATTATGCAAGCTTTGTATTAATTATGCAAGTTTTGTATTAATTATGCAAGTTTTGTATTAATTATGCAAGTTTTGTATTAATTATGCAAGTTTTGTATTAATTATGCATGTTTTGTAGTTGTATTTGAGCGAAATTATATATTTGTGCGAATGATGTATTTAGGCGATTTATATATTTGTGCTCGGTATGTATTGATTGTATTTGTGCAAGTTCTGTATTAATTGTGAATATTTTGTAGTTGTATTTGTGCTAATTGTGTATTTGTGCTAGTTGTGTGTGAATGCATTTATCCAGGCTGCGTATTTATTCTATTAGAGGAAAGTTGTGTAACTAGCGTACTGGTTCTACTAGTGTATTTATGCACTATTAGAACAAATACTATAAACAGAGAAGCGGGGTTTAACTAGATTTACAAATGTCGGCCAGAGATTTCTTAAGCACTACACGACGTCTCTCTCTCTCTCTCTCTCTCTCTCTCTCTCTCTCTCTCTCTCTCTCTCTCTCTCTCTCTCTCTCTCTCTCTCTCTCTCTCTCTCTCTCTCTCTCTCTCTGTACTCTCTCTCTCTCTCTCTCTCTCTCTCTCTCTCTCTCTCTCTCTCTCTCTCTCTCTCTCTCTCTCTCTCTCTCTGTCTCTGTCTCTGTCTCTGTCTCTCTCTCTCTCTCTCTCTCTCTCTCTCTCTCTCTCTCTCTCTCTCTCTCTCTGTCTCTGTCTCTGTCTCTCCCTCTCTCTCTCTCTCCCGTCCTCTGGCCTCCCTCTACCAACAAAGGTGGGCTGAAGAATGCACTGTTGTCTGCAGTAAAAATAAGGTAATCTCCCGCCTGCAGGCAAGCCTCGTTTCCTGCTGAAGGCAGCATCACTCCTCCTGCGCCTTCACATCTCCCAACTGATCCTCGCATCTTATTTTAATTTGTGTCATTTTTACAACAATTGTGAGGTGACTGTTGCGTCAGGCGTATGGTATATTTTGGCGGAAAGGAAAACAAGATTATTTATTTTACTATTGGGGAAGAATAGGAGGTGGAGAGGGAAGAAAAGAGGGAAGAAAAGAGGGAAGAAAAGAGGGAAGAAAAGAGGGAAGAAAAGAGGTAAAGAAGATTGGACAGTGGGTAGGGAAATAATTAGGGGAATTGAAATAGCGATGACGGATTGAAAGAGTGAAAGATAGCCAACTGGAAGGAGAGAAGGGAGGAGCAATTAAAATACGTTAAGCAAGGTAAGGAGAGCAAGGCGGTAGAGGAGGAGGAAGAGGAGAACAGGAACAAAGAGAACCGACGACAAAACAAAGGAGGAAGAGAAAGTGGTTATCGTGGTATAAACAATTTACAGTATCACGTAAAAAAAGAAGAATCCAGGAATCACTCAGTGAGCGAGTTTTATGGTGCAGGGAGTCGACCCCGTCCCCGCCACCCCGCTCCCCACAGTCGACCCCGTCCCCGCCACCCCGCTCCCCACAGTCGACCCCGTCCCCGCCACCCCGCTCCCCACAGTCGACCCCGTCCCCGCCACCCCGCTCCCCACAGTCGACCCCGTCCCCGCCACCCCGCTCCCCACAGTCGACCCCGTCCCCGCCACCCCGCTCCCCACAGTCGACCCCGTCCCCGCCACCCCGCTCCCCACAGTCGACCCCGTCCCCGCCACCCCGCTCCCCACAGTCGACCCCGTCCCCGCCACCCCGCTCCCCACAGTCGACCCCGTCCCCGCCACCCCGCTCCCCACAGTCGACCCCGTCCCCGCCACCCCGCTCCCCACAGTCGACCCCGTCCCCGCCACCCCGCTCCCCACAGTCGACCCCGTCCCCGCCACCCCGCTCCCCACAGTCGACCCCGTCCCCGCCACCCCGCTCCCCACAGTCGACCCCGTCCCCGCCACCCCGCTCCCCACAGTCGACCCCGTCCCCGCCACCCCGCTCCCCACAGTCGACCCGTCCCCGCCACCCCGCTCCCCACAGTCGACCCCGTCCCCGCCACCCCGCTCCCCACAGTCGACCCCGTCCCCGCCACCCCGCTCCCCACAGTCGACCCCGTCCCCGCCACCCCGCTCCCCACAGTCGACCCCGTCCCCGCCACCCCGCTCCCCACAGTCGACCCCGTCCCCGCCACCCCGCTCCCCACAGTCGACCCCGTCCCCGCCACCCCGCTCCCCACAGTCGACCCCGTCCCCGCCACCCCGCTCCCCACAGTCGACCCCGTCCCCGCCACCCCGCTCCCCACAGTCGACCCCGTCCCCGCCACCCCGCTCCCCACAGTCGACCCCGTCCCTGCCACCCCGCTCCCCACAGTCGACCCCGTCCCCGTCACCCCGCTCCCCACAGTCGACCCCGTCCCCGCCACCCCGCTCCCCACAGTCGACCCCGTCCCCGCCACCCCGCTCCCCACAGTCGACCCCGTCCCCGCCACCCCGCTCCCCACAGTCGACCCCGTCCCCGCCACCCCGCTCCCCACAGTCGACCCCGTCCCCGCCACCCCGCTCCCCACAGTCGACCCCGTCCCCGCCACCCCGCTCCCCACAGTCGACCCCGTCCCCGCCACCCCGCTCCCCACAGTCGACCCCGTCCCCGCCACCCCGCTCCCCACAGTCGACCCCGTCCCCGCCACCCCGCTCCCCACAGTCGACCCCGTCCCCGCCACCCCGCTCCCCACAGTCGACCCCGTCCCCGCCACCCCGCTCCCCACAGTCGACCCCGTCCCCGCCACCCCGCTCCCCACAGTCGACCCCGTCCCCGCCACCCCGCTCCCCACAGTCGACTCCGTCCCCGCCACCCCGCTCCCCACAGTCGACCCCGTCCCCGCCACCCCGCTCCCCACAGTCGACCCCGTCCCCGCCACCCCGCTCCCCACAGTCGACCCCGTCCCCGCCACCCCGCTCCCCACAGTCGACCCCGTCCCCGCCACCCCGCTCCCCACAGTCGACCCCGTCCCCGCCACCCCGCTCCCCACAGTCGACCCCGTCCCCGCCACCCCGCTCCCCACAGTCGACCCCGTCCCCGCCACCCCGCTCCCCACACTCATTACTGTCACCTGCATACAACACAAACTTTAAGATCAACAACGGGAAGTAAAGCTTTAAGGTCAACAACGAGAAGTAAAGCTTTAAGGTCAACAACGGGAAGTAAATTTTTAAGGTCAACAACGAGAAGTAAAGCTTTAAGGTCAACAACGGGAAGTAAAGCTTTAAGGTCAACAACGAGAAGTAAAGCTTTAAGGTCAACAACGGGAAGTAAAGCTTTAAGGTCAACAACGGGAAGTAAAGCTTTAAGGTCAACAACGGGAAGTAAAGCTTTAAGGTCAACAACGGGAAGTAAAGCTTTAAGGTCAACAACGGGAAGTAAAGCTTTAAGGTCAACAACGGGAAGTAAAGCTTTGAGGTCAACAACGGGAAGTAAAGCTTTAAGGTCAACAACGGGAAGTAAAGCTTTAAGGTCAACAACGGGAAGTAAAGCTTTAAGGTCAACAACGGGAAGTAAAGCTTTAAGGTCAACAACGGGAAGTAAAGCTTTAAGGTCAACAACGGGAAGTAAAGCTTTAAGGTCAACAACGGGAAGTAAAGCTTTAAGGTCAACAACGGGAAGTAAAGCTTTAAGGTCAACAACGGGAAGTAAAGCTTTAAGGTCAACAACGAGAAGTAAAGCCCAAAAGTCAACGAAAAGTAAGGCCAAAAGTAAGAAACTAAAAGTAACGACGTAAAGTAATAATGGAGGATGATGCTCTAGAGTCAAGAAGGATGACCACAGCCGTAAAGTGAACAAGTAGCAACAAAGGAACTACACACACCAGCAGATATATACCATCAACATGATAAGCCCGGTCTATGCTGCTCCTGTACTTGTACGAACAGACTTATGAATAAACAATAAGAAAAGAATTATGCGAAATTCTTGAACAGTAAGAATCCGTGTTAGGAATCGGAGAGGCAAAATAACAGTAGCTGAACAGTGTTCTCAAGAGCAATGTTCACGATACGAATGCACTAGGAAGTGATGTGGTGGAGGCTGACTCCTTGCACAATTTCAAGTGTAGATATGATAGAGCCCAATAGGCTCGGGAACCTGTACACCAGTTGTTTGACGGTGGAGAGGCGGGACCAAAGAGTCAAAGCTCAGCCCCCGCAGCACAACTAGGTAAGACAACTAACTGAGTATATCAAATATTGGATATGAAATCAAATAATGAAGAATTTGAAACAAACCGCACAGACTTTGATAATAAATCAATGACATGCTCATTGACTCCACACAACCGGGGCTGCTTCCCAGAACTCCACATTTATAAAACATTGAAAATGTCACTAGCACGAGTGTCAAGGCATGTGAGAAGGACCCTAGATACTGTCGAGGCGCCCCAGGTGGCGGGCACTGTCCCACTCCACAAGCCTGGTGGTGGTACTGTCGAGGCGCCCCAGGTGGCGGGCACTGCCCCACTCCACAAGCCTGGTGGTGGTACTGTCGAGGCGCCCCAGGTGGCGGGCACTGCCCCACTCCACAAGCCTCGTGGTGGTACTGTCGAGGCGCCCCAGGTGGCGGGCACTGCCCCACTCCACAAGCCTCGTGGTGGTACTGTCGAGGCGCCCCAGGTGGCGGGCACTGCCCCACTCCACAAGCCTGGTGGTGGTACTGTCGAGGCGCCCCGGGTGGCGGCACTGCCCCACTCCACAAGCCTGGTGGTGGTACTGTCGAGGCGCCCCAGGTGGCGGGCACTGTCCCACTCCACAAGCCTGGTGGTGGTACTGTCGAGGCGCCCCAGGTGGCGGGCACTGTCCCACTCCACAAGCCTGGTGGTGGTACTGTCGAGGCGCCCCGGGTGGCGGGCACTGCCCCACTCCACAAGCCTGGTGGTGGTACTGTCGAGGCGCCCCAGGTGGCGGGCACTGCCCCACTCCACAAGCCTGGTGGTGTCTGGGTATATTACCTCTACAATCTAAATACCATCTATTGTTGGACTGATTTTGTGAGTGTCGTTTAGAGGTAAATTTTGTGTCTTTATGAAACTTGAAATATGACTCACTTTCTGAAAGACCTAAATATATAATGTTAGTGTGACCACTCACAACACTATTGATCTGCTAGTGTGACCGCTCACAACACTATTGATCTGTTAGTGTGACGGCTCACAACACTATTGATCTGCAAGTATGACCACTCACAACACTATTGATCTGCTAGTATGACCACTCACAACACTATTGATCCGTTAGTGTGACCGCTCACAACACTATTGATCCGTTAGTGTGACCGCTCACAACACTATTGATCCGTTAGTGTGACCGCTCACAACACTATTGATCCGTTAGTGTGACCGCTCACAACACTATTGATCTGCTAGTGAAATAAACACATATTAAGAAATTTAATGGTAGCAGAGGCAAGACCTCAGGAGGAGGGTCAAGATGACCTCAGTAGGAGGGGCAAGATGACCTCAGGAGGAGGGTCAAGATGACCTCAGGAGGAGGGGCAAGATGACCTCAGGAGGAGGGTCAAGATGACCTCAGGAGGAGGGGCAAGATGACCTCAGGAGGAGGGGCAAGATGACCTCAGTAGGAGGGGCAAGATGACCTCAGGAGGAGGGTCAAGATGACCTCAGGAGGAGGGGCAAGATGACCTCAGGAGGAGGGGCAAAATGACCTCAGGAGGATGGGCAAGAAGACCTCAGGAGGAGGGGCAAAATGACCTCAGGAGTAAGGGCAAGATGACCTCAGGAGGAGGGTCAAGATGACCTCAGGAGGAGGGGCAAGATGACCTCAGGAGGAGGGGCAAGAAAACCTCAGGAGGAGGGGAAGATGACCTCAGGAGGAGGGGCAAGATGACCTCAGGAGGAGGGGCAAGATGACCTCAGGAGGAGGGGCAAGATGACCTCTGGAGGAGGAGCAAGATGACCTCAGGAGGAGGGTCAATATGACCTCAGGAGGAGGGGCAAGAAGACCTCAGGAGGAGGGGCAAGAAGACCTCAGGAGGAGGGGCAAGATGACCTCAGGAGGAGGGGCAAGATGACCTCAGGAGGAGGGGCAAGATGACCTCAGGAGGAGGGGCAAGAAGACCTCAGGAGGAGGGCAAGATGACCTCAGGAGGAGGGGCAAGAAGACCTCAGGAGGAGGAGGGCAAGATGACCTCAGGAGGAGGGGCAAGAAGACCTCAGGAGGAGGGTCAAGATGACCTCAGGAGGAGGGGCAAGATGACCTCAGGATGAGGGGCAAGATGACCTCAGGATGAGGGGCAAGATGACCTCAGGATGAGGGGCAAGATGACCTCAGGAGGAGGGGCAAGAAGACCTCAGGAGCAGTAAGACATTAAGGGTAGTCTTCCTTCCACAGACAGAGGAAAACTCTGGCGGTTTACATACCCGCCACTGAGGCATGACTGGCATGTGTTGTATACCGTTTAGATATCTAGAAAATTATCTCTTCCTGAGGAGACGAATCATTAAAAATGTTGATAGTTAAAAACTTATATAACTGATCATAGTGAAGCGCTATGCGTGAGCGTTTCCGGCAGGTCTTTAATCTTAATTTTCCCTGGAATACGACCCGCCAAATCGTTTTTCAACCAGGTACCCATTCACTGCTGGGTGTGCGAGAACCGACTCGTGAGATTTATATTTATATTATTTATATGAATTTATATAGAATTTATATTTACGTTAATTTATATATTTCGATAGTATGATGCTTAGAGGACTGTATTTCTGCAATATTCTCACAAATCGACTCTTACACATTACGGGGGCGGTTTATATTAAATTTATATATATGCAGCCAATCAAACTACCGTATTAAACTACATATATTAGTAAATAAATTGAGTTGCCTTATCTTACTGTACAGCAGGCTTAGTCCACCAGGTATAACTAGGATGTAGACACCAAATAATCCTCGTGAGAGGCTAGCTTCCAACATCCAAGTAACTGATGTACCAAGATTAATTCTTGCTCCCTCTTCTATGTTCCTATCAGAGGACACTAGCTGTAAGCCGTAATCCTATATATGACAGCTATATCAGATGAAACACTGTATATCATAGAAGATAAGGACCAAGGATTAATTACTTGTATTTAGATGCTGTTTCTCGTGCTAACCGGTTCGCCCTATATCTACTTAACATTATCTGGCCAGAAATGATTAGATTAAAGGGTTTTGGTAAGACACTTCCCTTGTTTAGATGTTGACTGCGTGTTGATGATGGAAGAAGCACTAATTTGATCTCCATAACACTGCGTCCAAGAGAGAATTATAGGAGCTGAACTCGCTCCACAGCGACTTGGTCTAACAATGGCTGACCTCCCTCACCACTGACGCCTGACTCTCCTTGTCCAGATGTCAATAAGTGATAGAAGGGTCACATTTACTCTATTTTGATACTGATAATTAAGTTAATTAAATGAGATGTTTTTATGATGTAATAAGCCCAAACACTGTTGTATTTAAGAATAATTCCCAACAGAATAGCTGGAGAATTTATAGCACTATGTGGCAATGATATCCCGTTTTCTATTAACAGAAAATTCCACTACAAGCAACATTTTCTATGGGTTAACTTGTGTATACAACAGCAGCAATATTATCTGCCTATTGTATATAATATTATTAAATGGTGTCGGGTTCCCCGACAGGATGAACAGAGACTACAGTTAAGGACTGGCGCCTAGTCTATCAACCCGTTTTCAGACCAAGCCCATTCCATCCACCGGCCGAACCCAAAGCCGCAATCATCAATTTTAACATTTTGTTCAATCAAAACAAGAATTTTCTCATATATAAATTAATGTTGTTATATAGTCGCATTTTATGCAAATTTATGCAATGATTAGGTTAGGCAAGGTCTTAAGATTCTGTTGGCGATTATTTGTGTTTGTTGTACGTGAGACATTTACAGCGTTGTGGTTCGAACAAATGTCGTCAGGGAAGCTCTTGTTCGAGAAATGTTCGAACGTCATCCGTTGTGTGTCGTGTGTAAACCGTTTTTCATTAAAAAACAGGGGGTTTGGTGGGAGCATGGAATGAACTTTGGTCTTTGTTAAATTAATGAGGACGGACTGTTCCCTGGCCAGGATTCGAACCCACCCCAAATCG